ACAAAAACGTTGGTCTATTCTGATAACAAATTAAAGGGTTAAAAATTTAGAAAACATTATGCACTATAGTTAATGCAAAAAAAAAATCTAACATATCATACTTTGTAAATAGTTCCTGCTAGAAAATGGAAGCATATTACTTGTTATCTTTCTTTTAGTTCGCCTTCTCACTCAAGTTTGGTAATGCAAGTAATTTTAGCATTAATAGTAAAGTTTAATATTTTTTCCAGTAAACATAAAAAAAATGTCATCATCTTTGGTCTATATATATAGTACAAGCAGAAAAAAATATCATCAGTAATTTGGACATACTATATGTCATCTCAACATGTAATATTTTGCTAGTATACTTCGCTATCTTCGATAGTACCTCTATAAATAAGACAACTCCAGTAGGATATGGAAATCAGAATTTAACAAAATAATTTACTTTCTTAGCAAACATGAGATAAAGGCAATTCACTGGACATAAATATCAAATTTTAGGTCCGCAGGATTCATTTTTTGCAGGATATCAGGCAGTTGTACATTAAATATCAAATAAGGGGCTGCCTATAGTAAATACTACATATGCAACACCATAGGTTTAGGAAAAACAAAAATCAACATGAACCCAACCCTACTACTCATAATATCCATTAAGAAAACCAAATTTTGATTAACAGAGCAAAATCAACAGATGTCAAAACAATTTTCGACCAAAAATAATCCTAAAGAAACAAATAAGGTGGCAAAGAAGGTCTTATAGTGAGAAGGAGTTAACATTGGGGCTTAAGCTACAGATGACTTTATGTTATTATAAACACCATTTCTTCACAATGATACAACCTATAAAAAATCCACAAACAAAATCTCCGTGGATCCCGGCACGTATCGATGAAGAACTCACAATCAGTTAAACAAAAGATTTATTACCTTTTATAGAGTTGTACTTAGAGTAGGATTCCCCTACTATATAAAGGGGGCTCTGATAATTCATTAGACATAGGGGTAACACGCATTCCAAAGTAATATATTATAATTTTCACTATTATAAGATTTTTCTGTCGTTCATCAAAATTCTCCACCGTGAGCCCGGATCGAGGGTGAATGCTTCACAAAGGCTGGAATTATCCTTCTCGCGTGGTTTGAAATTATTATATCTTTACTTGTCCATTATAACTCAATTTATCATTTTATATCAAATTATTCTGCATATCCTTAAAACCACTTACAAATTTAATTGTTATCCGATTTTGAGGGTAAATAATTTGGCGCCCACCGTGGAGCTAAGGATAATAGTGGCAATTTGATATAAATTTCCATAATACACCCTACTTCACACTTGTTCTTTGAAGTGTCTTTGATTTAAGATCTAAGTTTAAAATGTCGAACTTCCAATCTGCCCCTCTAAACACGGATGCTGAATATGGCCACCATAGCGAGAACAACAATATGGTGCCCGGTAACGAGGTAGCCCCTGCTGATCCCAACGGAATTCCGGCCGTGGACTCGATCGACGCCAACTTTTATGTGGCCATTAACACAAATTTTCCCACCGATCCTGAGAACAGCGTCCGCGGGTGAGTCCGATCGGTAGCCTAAAATACTCGTTATAGTGAAGGGGATGGGATCAATTTACAGGTGATTTTCGAAATGCTACAGGCTCAACAAGCAGCAATAGCCCAACTACAAAACCAAAGTCGCGCTCCCAATAGAGTTGAGCCTGAACCGTCCCGGAAAAACACTCGCAGAAATGAACTATCCATAGATAGGATAAATGAAGCTAAACTTGGGACCAACCCTGAGATAATAAAAATGCTCGAGGAATTGAAATAACAAGTAGAAATGAGAGAAAAGAAGATCGAAGCCAACGACAAGAAGGTGGAGACCTACACCACCAGGGTTGACCATATCCCCGGAGTACCTCCGATATTGAAAAGCCTAGACTCCAAAAAGTTTGTTCAAAAACCTTTTCCTTCGAGCGCGGCTCCAAAGCCAATCTCAAAAATGTTCCGCATGCCTGAAATTCCTAAGTACAACAAAACAACTGATCCAAATGAACATGTGACCTCATACACCATCAAGGGGAACGACTTGAAAGATGTCGAGATCGAATTTGTCCTGCTAAAAAAGTTTGGAGAGACCTTTTCAAAAGAATTTATGATATTGTATCACAACTTACCCCCAAATTCTATTGACTCATTTGCTATACTTGCAGATGCTTTTATAGAAGCGCACGTCAGAGCCATTTAGTTCAAAACCAGAAAGTCGGGCCTTTTTGTTCAACATACCAAATTCAACACCACAAGGCTGTTGTTCAACATCGAGGAACGAAATGGTACTCACTCTTGACGGAGGAGGTAACACTGCCTCCATTTCATTATTCTTTGGAAAGACTCCACAATAGTGAACCTGTCGATGACCCATTCAAAGTGGCCGATATGTAGTGAATAAGGCTGCGGATTTCTAACCTTGGTAGATGAAATTAGATACGTCTCAAAAAGTTCGAACAAGTTATCACATCTTCTAATGTCGTCACCATACAGTATTACACAAATTTGTTCCTCCTACAATGTTATTAAGAACGATAATGCACTAATTATTGGAAGAGTACAAGTGAGAAGATCTTATGTTACAGTTATAGTTGTAACTTGACTTACGTTTTTATCCCGGATAATTATTATCTGAAAACGAACTCGCTGATCTCTGATCAGCTGTCTTGCGGGCAAAATTTGTCTACAACCTGGACTTTGCAAGTCCATTCTGTAGTTAGTGGTGTAATTTCACCGATGCTAAGTCTTTCTTCCATTTTATCAATATAACCTGCATATTAATAATCGTAAAATTGCAAGAACAAACCATCCCACATTACAAATATAAGGCAGCAAATATACGTAAAATACACTTGAAGGTTTTTCCAACAGTTAGGAATTCCTAGTGAAAGTTGGATCTGGATTTTTTAATCACTACATTTGAGAGTACTGGAACTCCCTGCTTCACACGTTCTATAATCTCTATTCCTTTGTGGAAACAAAAATAACTTGTCAAGATATACGTCATATCAGAATAATAGAATATAGCAACTTCAGAGAAGTAACAACTCAACAGTTCACATGTTCATTCTTCAAGATAATGAGATTTACACCAATGACCTTAACATCTAGCACATTTGACACTGTTCAAACATGTAAACTACTATTTAAATGTTTAAGCATAAAACCCGGCAAGTTTCTACTTTCGAAAATATGACAAAGGATTAAGGACCTACTTACCTATTAATGAAGATTTACTCAATCACTTTTTTTGTTTAACCCAATTGATGGCATATCATTTTATTGTCAAATAAATAATTTAAAACACAACAGTATATCAGACATACTAATTTCATACAGAAAACGTACTACACATAGTCATATGAGAAGACATCATTTACAATATATTTATAGTAGAGGAAGGCAGTAGATAATGAAGCGAATAAGTGCAGAAACATCCAAACCAACCATAGATAGTTATCTCCTAAGCACATATTTCAGTAAAACGCAAAGTCATATTTTGAATGTCAAAAAGAGTGCAGCAACCATAATATTTTACTCATAGAGTGAAAGATAAATTTTAACTTCAAATGGTAATTTATACGAGAGAAAAGAATAGATGATATTTAAGTAAACCTAGGAAATATGAAAATCTCATTTAGTTTGCCCTTATGAGAGACAACATTATGGCCCATCAACACAAAATAGTTGGTCTATTCTGATAAAGGGAATTTCATGCTTGGGGTTTCGACTTATCGGCCGAAATCGAGAGTGTTAAGGGGCTCAAAGCCGAGGCCAAGAAGTTGGCTTATCCCGAGGATAAAGAAGGCTCCGAGGGTTCGAGCGGATCCAAGGGTGGAGGAGACTCCGAAGACCTTGGCGATGAGGCGGGCTCCGGTGAAGACCAGGCTATTGAAGTGCCTTGTACATTATTTTTTTTTTTTTCAATACTGAAGCATCTGAGCACTTTCGTACTTACCTTAGAATGTACAATAACATGTTTGCGTTTACTTCACTTGGAGTGAACTATGACAAGGTGCTAGCTAAAAGAAACTATGGTATTTACACATTTAAAGTACAAGGACAAATATATCACCGCATAAATGATTTAAATCCATCAAATCGACAGCCAAGAAATTTACAACTGCATTTTTATGATGATAATACTGAAATGTTGAATTGAATGATTTCCTCAGGTATACTTAGACAATCTGTTGTTGAGAAGTTAATGGATATACTGAAGATAAATTCTTACTGTATTTTCTTGAAATCTCTAATACATATTCCAGAATTATCAAACTTTTATATTGCATTGAGAAGTGGTTCTCACTTAGATCAACGAATATATAACCTACCAACTGTGTCAGACGTAGTGGCACTATGGCTAGAACAAGAAACAAACAATAACACTTCTGGACCCCATATCCGAATTTACACTCAGATAACAAGAGTCAGTTGGCAAATTACTATTATGGTTGCTATGACCCTTTACAGTATCTGCTTTTATTGCCTTACGGTCAAAACATATGGCATTATGGTATTCAAAAGGTTGCACAACCTGGGAATAAGTTGAGAAAAAAGAGAGCTTACTATGAAAAAGAACAACTTCCAACTTTATCTAATATGTGTTCAATTGATGGACTACTTGATATGGATGTTGAAGTTCTGGAAAAGGGAAAACGAAAAAGGGATATTGTTTTTTGTCGTGAATACTATTGTTACAAACTTTAGATGAGAGACAATGAAGAGAACAAAGTTTTACAGTTTGGCAGATTGTTTCAACAATACTCAGTTGATGAGTTCATAAAAGTGGAAACTCAGAGGTTAGATTTTGTCTCATTTAACCAAGATTTATTTTAGATTTATGTACTACAAGGCATTCTTGATATCCTACAACTTAATGAAAGATAAGCTTCTAATATAGGAAAAAAGAACTTTCTACCGACTAGTTTTACAGGTAGTCAGAGAGATATCCATCAGCGTTATATGGATGCCATTGCGTTAGTGCAACACTTTGGAAAGCCTGATATAATTTTTACCATGACATACAATCCTTCTTGGCCAGAAATAAAAGAGCATTTGCTCGCAACAGACGAAACTCAAAATAGGCCTGATTTAGTTAGTCAAGTATTTAGAGCGAAGGAAGAAGAGATGAAAACATATATTTTAAAAAGAAACATATTTGGAAAAGTTGCAGCTTTTATGTACATTGTAGAATTTCAAAAACGAGGTCTTTCACATGCTCATTTTCTTATTATGCTTACTGATGACTATAAATTATTGACACCTGAAGCTTATGACAAGTTTTTCTCTGATGAGCTACCTGATCCTGATGCAAACTCTTATTTACCTAAGCTTGTTATTAAATATATGATGTATGGGCCTTGTGGTTATTTGAATCCTACAAATTCTTGTATGAATAAAAAAAGAGAATGCAAATTTAAGTATCCAAAGAGCTTCGCCGACAATACGAGAAAAGGAAAGGACTCATACCCAGTTTATAGAAGACGAAACACTAGCAAATCTGTGAAAGTAAGGGAGCAATTTCTTGACAACTCCTACATTGTTCCTTACAATCCTTATCTGTTATGCAAATATAATTGTCATATAAATGTCAAAGCTTGCTCAGATATTAAAGTTGTGAAATATATATACAAATACATCTATAAAGTGCATGATAAAATTTCATTTGGTCTATGTGAAGATAACAAATATAGAAATAGATGAGATAAAAAAATATCAATCTGCTAGATGGGTATCACCGCCCGAAGCTATGTGGCTCCTATTTGCCTTTCCTATCAGTGAAATGACTCCAAGTGTTTATCACCTCCAATTACATCTTGATGGACTGCAATTTGTTTCTTTTAAAAAAACTGACACATTAGATAATATTGTGAAAAATTCTATGATTAAGAAGACGATGTTGACAGAATTCTTCTTGATGAATGAAACAAATAAAGATGCTAAATAGTTGAAGTTATTATATAAAGACTTCCCACAATATTTTGTATGGTCATCTACGTACAAAATGTGGACTCGACGACAACGAGGTAATATTATTTGGCGAGTTGTAACGTGTCATCCAACAGAAGGAGAAAGATATTACCTTATATTATTACCAATGAATGTGAGAGGACCAAAATCATACGAAGATCTTCCGACTGTAAATGGAATATACTGTGACATATTTAGAGAATCTGCAGAAAAAGAGGACTGTTGTATTGTGATAATAGCTTGATTGATTGTATGTCGGAGGCTGCCTGTTACCAAATGCCTTATAGTTTAAGCCATTTATTTGCTACAATATTAGTATATTGAAACCCTACCAATCCCAGAGCGTTGTGGGAACAATTTGAAGATTCAATGTCTGAAGACTTTAAGAGTCTAGCAAATATAGACGTAAAAGATATTCACCCTGATGTCCTAAACTACATCAATGATATACTACATTCTATGGGGCGTGATATTAACGAGTTCAACCTTATTTCAGAGTATCAGATCTTGAAAAATGAAAAATGAAGCAAAAGAAGTATATTTCGAAAGAAACATCATTGTTAGTGATGAAGATTTATTATTACATAGAAAACTAAATATTGAACAAAAAAGGATACGATGCAATTCTTGATAGAGTATTTGGCAACAAATCAGGAGCCTTTTTTATTGATGGTTCTGGAGGAAGTGGTAAGACAATCTTATATTGTGCGCTGTTAGCAACTGTGAGATCCAAAGGATTTGTAGCTTTAGCAACAGTAAAACGTCTCATTCACGTTTGAAATTCTCGATTAATGTCAATGAAAAGTTCTCTTGCAATATCAGCAAGCAGAGTTCACTGGCATGTTTGATTCGTGATGCAAAATTAATTGTGTGGGATGAAGTATCAATAGCAAAAAAGAACATGACTGAAGCATTAGACCCTCTTCTGAAAGATCTTATGGACACACATATGCTTTTTGGTGGAAATGTTATTATTTTTGGAGGAGATTTTAGACAAACCCTTCCAGTTATTCGAAGTGGTAAAAAGGAAGACTTTATTCGGGAAATCATACTGAACTCTGAAATATGGAATTATCTTGAAAAAATACGACTATCAAAGAATATGCGTGCAAAAACTGATCCTTCTTTCTGTGAACATTTGATGCAAATTGGAAATGGAAAAGAAAAGACAAACATGGATAATAAAAATTGTGTGGTCTTTCATTGTTCCTTATATTACTAAAAAAGAATCGTTGGATCTCTTATTCAAAATAATATATCCTGATTTGCATACTTCTTTTCACGATTCTGCTTTTTTAACTTCTCGTGTTAGACCAAAAATGACTTTGTTGATGAATTAAATGACGTGATTATAGCCCAATTTCTTAAAGATGCTAGGATATTTGTTACAACTGATGAAACTGTTGAACCGAGTGATCAGAGTCAGTTTGAAGATTTTTTACACTCATTGAACCTTGCTGGTTTACCTCTTTACAAATTAACCTTGAAAGAAAATTGTTATAAGCGCTAAAATTACGAGTGGTGATTTTAATAATACACATGTATTTATTCCCAAAATACCATTGTTATCATCAGATGATGAGAAGTTGCCTATCCCATTTAAAAGAACATAATTTCCATTACGCCTGTGTTTCGCTATGACGATAAATAAAGCGCAAGGACAAATATTAGATTATGTTGGAATTTATTTACGCGAGCGAGTATTTTCTCATGGACAACTATATGTTGCTTTATCAAGAGCAAAGAGTTCAAGCTGTATAAAAATATTAATCCGACCACCTACAACAGATAATGATGATGACCAGTCTACATATAACATAGTTTATGCTGAAATCATTCAAAAAGCTCTTCTTTAAGTTTGCAGCTCTCTTGTTATGTTTCTTGGGTAGCCATATATTCGTCTTGCTGACTGCCGGTGATCATTCACTAATTCTTAAAAAAAAAAAAGGGGAAACAACTTATAATGTTCTTTTGGTAATTGTTGTAGTTATTGTTTATTTCGATAATTTTCCTGGAGCTTGAAATAATTTTTCTGCAATTTGGTATCCACTAAATAAGAGTTGGCTTGTATACTTGTAAATCGTTGCTAAACTTTTACTGTTCTCATATAGTTTTTTAGTGCACAATATATAGACCAAAATGTTTACATTATGAAAATATCCATATTAACAAATCCAAAATTGCAAAGCTTAGTACATATTTTTGTTATTTTTATTAAATTCTATGAAGATGACCTAGCTGATCCTTATCTCAAGAAAAAAATAACGTTTTTAATTTTGTGTGTGTTCAAGTTATATTGTGACTGTTACGACCCAAAATCCAACTAGTTGTGATGACACTTAACCCAACCCGCTAGGTAAGCCAATTATCAACTATACAATTCCAATAACAATTATTAAATCAATTTAAGTAAATAAAAATCTTAATCTTATACATTCCCCAAGAACTGGTAGTACAAATCATGAGTTTCTAAGAATAGAGTATACAAAGTTGGTATGAAGTAAATACATCAACTGTTTGAAAAGTACATAAACAGAGTTTTATGAATCTAAGGCTACCATGAACAAGAGGCAGCTACAACCGGAACACAGGTACATCTTCAGATCCAGCTCCCAACGAACGCATCAATATCAACGGCCAATATTCGCACGCAAGGTGCAGAAGTGCAGTATGAGTACAACCGACCCCATGTACTTAATAAGTAACAAACCTAAACTTAGGTTGAAAGTAGTGACGAGCTCGTACCAAGGTCAGAGTCCAACTTCTATAACCAACAATAGTTTATAACAATATAAAACAAGTAATACCCGAAGTAACTCAGAGATAAAATGCTCAATAAAATCATGAATTCTGAAAATAGTTCTGCCTTTCAAGTACATTAGTGAAAACCCAAATCGTTTACCGAAGTTGCCAAAAATATGAATAAGTTTGAAAACAATAATTTTTTCAAAATCCTTTCCATAATAAATAAGATATTTTATTTTCTTTCCAGATAATCAGTGTAAAATAAATGCACGACTATGCCCATCTGTCAACATGTGTGAGAAATCATGAATGATGTGATACCGTACAACATGAGGAAAAAAATACATCTCTATGGCTGTATGTCATGTGTGCATGTCAATGCAATATATTTCAGAGATGAACTCATGTACTCACACTCTCAGAGTACTCAATCTCACTTTCTCACACATTTCACTCATCATGACCAATCACTCGGTACTGTATATGGCCAATCCGACCCAGGAAAGATCCACCCCGAAATATACACATCAATTGATCATCAGTCACCCAGTACCGAATAGGGCCAATCCAGCCCGTGGAGAAGATCCATCTCCAGGTATATAATACTTCGGACAAG